TTATTAATTATTTAATTATTATTAATTATTTATACTCAATTCTAATCAATTCATTTTTATTTAAAATATATCAAATTAATTTTTAACGAGTTCACGTCAATTATTATTAATTATTTAATTATTTTTTTAATTTTTATTTATATTTAATTTTTTGATTTATAAATACATTAAATATTTAAAAAAAATCATTTTTACACCTTAAAATTATTTTTATAATAAATATTTTAATAATTTATCTCTATTTTTTTACTATTACCTCAAACACCACCTAAACTATACTTAAATGATTGAAAATGATTATTACAAGACTCGTAATATTTTGTAAAAAAATTAAAATTAATTAATTCATTAGTAAAATATTATTTTTTCAACACTATTTATTTGCAACTAAATTAATAATTTATAATTTTAATTAGTTGTAAAATTTTATTACTAATTGTAATGAATAATTAGTTATAAATTATTATAACATTAATCTTTTGAAACCAATTGAATAATTATCTATAAATGATAACTAATAATTTATAAAAACTATTTTTAGATTAAATTATCAGTTCAATTTTCAAAAAAAAAAATTCTTAACCGAGTTACTAAAATAATAATGCTAGAATTACTTAAATTTTTTTTTTACTAAATGTGAATATTGACTTGATTTTGTCCCAAGTAATTTTAATGAATTGGTTTATTGATTAAAAAAGTAAATTTTATTTTTAAATTAAAATTTTAGAGTCGTATTTATGAACATTTATTAAATTTTTTTAAATGTATTTTATATTATAAAATTATGAATATACCTTTTTGAAGTTTTCTCAAAATTTATTGATGTAACAATCATATACTTGTTTTTCTATTTTAATTTTCCGTATCAAATAAATACTTAAATATATTTTCCAACAGCTTTTTAAATAATTACCAAACGGCAGAAAATATTTTTTTGAAAAACAATTTCTTGAAAAATAGCTTTTACAAAAATTGATTTTCCTTTTAAAATTGTTTTTCACCAAACAAACGGAGCCTTAATACCGAGACCCAAATCCTCGTGAATCTATCTCAAAGGATATCAAACCTTTTACTTCAAGCTGTCATTATTTTAGAATTCAAGTTTCAAACAGCAATAACATTATCAAACCTTTATCATTGATTGATAGGAATTTTCATGTTAAAATCCTATAAATTAATTGAAAACTTCATATTCATACTAGAACCATAACGATTGAATAAAACCTTCAAACTAACTAAGTACAAGGATTCCCTCGGCAAGAACTTTTGTATCATCACTTATTCAATGAATAAATATAATGACTAAAAATCCAAAGAAAGGTTTATCTTTTGATCAACATAAACATATACAAAGAGCTAGAAGGAAGAAAAATCTTTCAATTTAGAGTTTTTAACTCTTTACAAGTTTTTCGAGTCCAATCATAGGATTTAAATATTAAGTTAAGTATGAATCATAGCTCTAATATTTCATAATCTATTTCATATATTTCATGCTCTAGATACTAGAATAACTATCCGATAAAGTCAAAAATCATCTCTATCAAGATAACGAGACCCATTTTCTATATTATCAATAGGATCCATTATAACTGCACACTCATATTCCAGAAATATAAAAAGAAAGAAATTCCACGATCGAACCACCAAAATAAAATATATAGCATAAAATGGGCTAAAAAAACGAGACCCAAATGCTTCACTTTGTATTGAAAAACTAGAATTTAGTTATTCTTGTAAATCTAATTCATTGAAATTACATCTAGTAAAAGGGATGAATTATAAATCTCCAAAATAATATTTAATGCTCTATAACTCAAAATTCTTTTAATTTAATGATCTATAATTCAAGCAATTTTTTATTTAATGCTCCATAATTCAAGAGTCATCTAAACTTAATGATTCATAATTCAAAAAACTTTTAATTTAATTCTCTATAATTCAAGAGATTTTTAACTTCCATCAAGGTGATATTTTTTTAATTTATATATCCTCAAGGGACCAATAGAATTTTAATACTTAATTTATTAAACCATTAAAAACACGAGCCATTTCAAAAAAAAAAAAAAAAAAATCTAACATCCGAGACATATCTGAGCTTGGAAATGTAATTTCAAGTTGCAGATAAGGAATACCAACATCTTCCATGTATAACTGCTGAATCATTTTCATTAAGAAGGAAGCTACAAGGTTTAAGGTTAAGAACTAGAATTTTTTATTAGTTATTTATTTATTTATTATTATTATTATTATTTTTTTTTTTTTTGCAAGCAACTCTGTAATTCTCTGAGCCAACTCTAACCCACACCTAAAAATATCAGGTAATACGTATGGAGTTCCAAAAAAAAAATCTCTTATTTTATATGTCAACGGAAATCTCTAATAAATCAGTATTATTAATTAATCAAAAAGTTACAAGATTTAGAATCCTTATGATAATTATGTACTCAGTATCCTAGCAAGTACCGACTTCATGTTAGTACGAACGATAAAGAAAAATAAATAATTCCATCAATTCGAAAAAGTATACAATAAAATCCAAGTATAGAGAAAAAATTCAAGTACGTTTATTTTGTATTTTACAACATATAATTCTGAATGATAGATATCCTAAGATTTACAGAATTACAAGTTTATGATAATTATTTTGTATTTTACAACATATAATTCTGAAAGATAGATATCCTGAGAAAAAATTGTATTTTACAACATATAATTCTTACTCTGAGATCTTATGAAGTAGAAAAATTAGTCGCAAGCAATTTCTTTTCACTCCAACTCAAATAAAGCAATTATTAGCCTTTTTCGTGCTGTAAATAACTCCTCTGTAGCTGGAACATTTCCTATTTGGGTTGTTTTTTTTCATAATGAAAACCTTTCATCATTAAACAATAAAAAAGATTTTGGTTCTATCAATATATCCTAGAGCAAGTTAACAACCTATTCAAATTGGGGATGGGCAATATTTTTTTTGCCAAATACATCAATCATATATTAGAGCTTATAAAGATATTTATTTCAAACTAAAAAGTTGTTGGCTTAGAGCTAAACAAACTGATTATAGACGAATTTTTTTATTAATGTGTGGAGTTTGAATTTTGAAATCGGACTTGTTGAGAAGGATTAAATATTGTCGTCCTTGCTCCGAATATGATTAGTTTTATTTTCAATATGAAATAAAAATATCGTAGGAAAAACAAGAAAAAAATATCTATGTCAAGGTTGCACAATTAAATAATCAGAGAATACCTTTTCTGTTAAACTTAAAAAAATAAAAATCCTCTCAAGCTTAATGGATTGGAGATGGGCATGTTTTCACATGTTATTAGCTCAACCCCTAATAGAAAGTTTCAGTAATTTCATCCGTCTGGCCCATCTCGCCCACAGTTTGGGTTGCTAGGCAAACGGGCAATGCAATTACCATGGTAGATAGCCCATTTCTTTTGAATTTTAAACAAAATATACACGAAAAGGCTTTTAAAGGAGTTATGAAAACTGTAATTTGACTATTTATTTTTTATTTTTTATTTAAGTATTTAATAGATAAACCATTTTATTTGAGTGTTCAAATTTTGATTTTGTTTTCTATTTGAGTGCTCATAATCATTTGAAACTGAAAAATGCTAAAGTATTTAGAATAAACTGCAATGCGATAGTTTTTAATCGACACGTAGTAATAAGTGGATTTCACTCGAATTATTAAAAAAAAAATTGAGTGCCTACTCTTTATTATTTTTCTGTTTGAGTGCCAAACAATTGGGTTATTTTCTATTTGAGTTCCCTTAGTTTTTTTTTTTTTTTGAAAAATACTAATGTCGCCAAGATTCACTAACACATGAAAAAAATGAGTTCCACTTAAATTTATTAAGAAAACAATTGTAAAAATTATATACATGAAAAAATTTGAAATTGTTTAAAAAAAAATCAAAATCAATTACGGATACAAAAAAACTCTAATTTTTTTAGATAGTGTAGAGTCAAAACTTTTGGATTAGACAAAAGAAATGTTTAAACAATGATATCGTAGAAGTGTTATAAGAGATTGATCTCGACTAACAATAATTGATTTTGGTTTTGGTTTTTAATTTATTTCCAACTATTTTATTTTATAAAAAAATTTATTATTTATTATTTTTTAATAAATTCAAGTGTAATTTACTTTTTATCACATGTGAGTTAAAAATTGTCGTGTGTCAATAAATTTTAACCACATCAGTATTTTTTAATCTTAGATGACTAAGAGAACTTAAATAGGAAAAAAAATCAAACATTGAGCATCCAAATAGAAAAATAATCAAAAGTTAGGCATTTAAATTGCAATTTTTTCTTTAAAAAATAGGATTTTTTTTTTTATACACCAAATGAGATCCATTTTCGTCACTTATCATTTCATTTGGTTACATGAGTATTTTTCAAGTTTAAGTGATCATGGGCACTAAAAAAAAAAAAAAAACTTGAGTACTCGTCAAATAGAAGAATTTACGAGTTAAACACTCAAACAAAAAAAAAAAAAAAATCTAAAATTGGGCACTCAAATTGCTTCTTCTTCCTTTTTTTTTTTTTTTTTTTTCCATTCATGTAAATGTGCATTGTTACTTTACCTACTAATCCAAAAATCAATCAATCAATTAATTAATTAAATTAAATTTGTAGGAAATTGTGACCATTTGTAAGAATATTTCGAGCTTTTTTAAGTCATCCAAATTCCAAAAGGATTTCTACTTCCTAAAAAGAATATTAATATGATCAATCCAATTATCATTTCACATGCTTGGTCATAAATCCCAACAATTGACCATGTTCTACCATATCTTAGATAAATGCTCACTTCTAACCTACCAAAAGAAGCCACGATTGAAAAGAATGTGGCCAAAAGTATGGAAACATGTAGCAAAACCAACTGTAATATTATCTATACAAACAAATCCCACTAAACTTGAATGATGGTTGGATTTTCGTGGACTAATGATTACAAACATTCCCTTTTGCTCCTCGAAAAAGCAATGGCACAAAATAACAAGGGAGTTTTGGTCCCCATTATTATTGACCCCCAAGCTTTCCTTGCATGCCCAAGCAAGGACCCACCTCATCTCTGGGCTCTTGCATGCCATGCCATGCCACCAGTTGGCCACCCACCAGCCGAAAATAGAAAAACATTTTCGAGACAGAGAAAAGAGTTGGGTTTGATCACCTGTTTCTTTGACTCGAGTGCTAATAAGCACAAAATCCTTTAGTACTTCTGTTTTGTTTGCTATAAATTTCAAGGTTTTATCGGACAAGAACCAATCATGAGCAGGCAACCTTTGCTACGTAGGAATTAAGGATCAGGTTTTATGTCAGGTTGACAGAAATACATGTGAAATTTAGACCTGCACACCTTATTTGTTTAACTGCCTCAAAGTGTTTTCTTCCCACCTTGTATCCTCTTGACCGTGAGTAAATTATAAATTAGTCCTTTTTGTTTCGAAAAATGAATTAATTAGATTCTCTTGTTTTAAAAATTAATTATTTAATCTCTTATGTTTTAATTTAATCAATAACTTAGTTTTCTGTTAGAGTAGTAATGAGGTGTCTTTATTGCAGTACTTTTTGTTTCCAAATTGCCATTTTTTATGCGTTATTTTTTCTTTTTTTACACATATCCTCTCTTTTTTTCTGTAAACATGTACCAAAACAAAACTCCATTTTTCTCCTCAGATCTTCTTTCTTTAAATCTCTCCTTCTTTTTTATTTTCTCAAACACCAAAATATTTTCTCATAAATGAATATATATGTTAAAGGATACTGAGATAGTAGGAGTTAATTTGATAGATTTGTGAAAAATTTAATAGTAAGAGATTAAATGATTAATTTTTGAAACGAGAAGGACTAATTAATTTATTTCTCAAAAAAGGACTGATTTATAATTTACTCATATTGGCCTTTTTCTTTTCTCGTTTGATCCAATCATCCAACAAGCTTAGCAAGCGCGCTACCGGTTTTATATATATATATATATATATATATATATTTTTTTTTTTTTATTCTCTTCTGTTATTCTAAACTCTAAGAATGGATGGAGAAATTCCCTGCTGCTTTTTCACAATTCTAAGCTAGTTGTTTAACCGCCTCAAGTGTTTTGCTTCCCACCTTGTATCCTCTTTGACCTTTTTCTTTTCTCATTTGATCCAACTAGCTTTGCAGGACTGCTCAAGTTTTTTTGAAAAATACATAAATTCCCTTCTATTTTCCTAAATTCCAAGCATTGATGGAGAAATTCAACATTCTGTTATACTTAGATAAGGTCTTTCATTGGATGGTGATGTAGGTTTTTTTTTATTAGTATTCTATAAAAATAAAAATAAATGGTTATACAACAATTTGTTAGAAAAAATTCAATCGCTATTATGAATTTTTTTTAATTAAAACAATGGTTAGTAAAAGTCAATGGATTAAATTATAGATTCAATCTAGCATTCATCAAGAAACAACGAGTAAATCCTAGGAAATATACAATAATTTACTCTAGAATTCATCAAAGGTTTAATGATAAATTTTGTCGTTATTCCGTTACGATTTGGTAATTTAGGATCCATAATAATAAATTGCCTAATTTGAGCTCTAAAGTATTGGAGATTGAGAAAATATGATCTAAATTACTCAATCTCTATATGTGTAACGAGTCACCTTTACTTAGAATGTCAAAACGATTTCGTTTTGACATTCCAAGTAAAGTTGTTAATTTTATTGTTAATTATGTTTTTTTAAAAATATATATATTTTTAACCCCATAATCTTGAACTTTTTTTTAAAAAAAATTCTTATAAAATATTATAAACATTTTATAAATTTGTATAAAAAATATTTTATAAATATTTTTAACCTCCCCTAATTTTGAAATTTTTTTTTATAAAATACTATAAACATTTTATAAAAAATATTTTTATATATAATTTATAAAATTAGGGATGTCAATCCTTAATTATGCTCATTTTAATTTATAAAATATTTTTTAAGGCTCGAAATTGTGTATTGTTAATTATGTTTTTTTACAATGATATTTTTATAAAAAAAAATTAAAAATTTCAAAATTAGGGGGTTAAAAATATTTTTTATATAATTTTATATTTTATAAGAAAAATATTTAATTTTTTTTTCAAAATTAAGAAGGTTAAAAATATTTTTTAAAAAAAATAATTAACAGAAGAATGTTAAAATGATGTCATTTTAACATTTTAAGTAACAATCAATCTTAATTTTTTTTCAAAATTAAGAAGGTTAAAAATATTTTTTAAAAAAATAATTAACAAAAAAATGTTAAAACGATGTCATTTTAACATTTTAAGTAACAATCAATCCAATTAAACGATATTACATTTGTCCAATCCATAAACGTTATTAAATCATAATAAAATAAAGATAAAATTTGCTATTAAACCATTCATCAAGTATGGCATCTTCTAGAGGAAATGAATAATCATTAATATTTGTTGGACTTGAGATCATAAACCAAAACAATTCCGACACTCGGCTTGAAACTTGAAAGAACTAGTTACGGATTTATCTTAAAGAACTTCGTGTCTTCCGTCATGATTAAATGTTCCAAGTGATTTCATTTCAGAATATTGATAATCCAATTAGCAGAACCCATGTTATAGAATTTTTCATTTTCTCTCTCCCTTAATGGCTGACTTATTCTCCCCCCACTACCCACTACCCACTATCTTATCCCAATTAGTGAGGTGGCTTTGCTTTTACCACTAACATTCCCAATTCACCAAAAATCAAACAACAAAACAAAAATAGTTAACTGGCTTATACCTAATTAAAAACAGAATTAATCAATAATTATTTGTAATTTTAAGGAGTTGATTTGGTGATTAAGTTTTTTTTTAGCGTTAACATTCAGAAATAAAAAAAAATATCAAGACGATGTGAATGCTGCATTCTTAAAATCTTCTTAAAAAAATAGTTTTAATTGATATCAAAACTAATGCGATGATATTTTTATCATCATAATAATAATTTTTTAAAAAAAAAAACAGAGAAAAACATGAAAACCTAACCATTGTCACTGAAAATCCTCCATAATCTGTTTTTCCCTCAATGAAGGTCCCTATGATTGGATGATTGCGTGGTATGGAAAATGCAGTTTTAGAAAAAATGCAATTGGGCCCTTGATGCTTGAATTTTATAAAGCTAGTCTCTCCAGGCAATTTTGTGACCAATTTCTGTTAAAACTAACACTCAATGGCCAAACTTTGACCAAAATCCAGCCAATCAGCATGTGCTGCGTTTCCTATTAAAACTAATAATTTTGAGTTTTAACGGAAATTTCCAACAGTATTGAAGGGAGGGACTAACATTTTAAGAGATCCAAAACGTCAACGACCTAATTTAACTTTTAGAAACCAGAGGGTTTAATGTGACCAAGTGATTGAACCATAGACCTCTACTGCCGAAAAACTCTAATAATCTAAGATTTTGCCTTGGTAAGAAAAAAATAAAAATAAAAATAAAATTCCACTACTAATTTGGGATGTCTCTTCAGCTTATGGTGGTATCAAGACAAGTGTCCCGGAATCTGATGTGGAGCAGTTTTTTGACGGAGAGACAAGAAAGCATAACTTTTTCTATGTAGTTCTTGTCGAACCCACTCCTCCTAGAAACCGACTCCCACATCAAGTAAACCCCACGAACTGACGCTGTTCTGTTGGTTCAGGTACAGCTAACTTTCCCCCACTACACACAATCATGCAAACTGTCTATACCAGCTTTTACTACTATCTTCAATTCTGCTAATCATTCTTAAACTTTGATATTATGTTCTTGTTTTTGTGTTACTATAGGAGGATCAAAGAAAGAACCCATCAAGAAGACAGAAACATTTCAAAACATGTTTTTTGCCTTGTTTGGGTGGAGAAAAGCTACTAAGTGGTAAGGGACTAAGCTGCCTCATGGGTTTATAGTTTTATGGTTTGTTCATTTTTGGGTTTTGTTAAAAAGGGTGGTCTGTTTTTTGTTTTTTGGGTTGCAGCAAGAGGCTGATCAAGCAAGTTCAATCCCGGATTAACCTGTTGAAGACCAAGAGGCTTTCAATTGTTAAACAGTTGAGGGAAGATGTTGCTCAGCTCATCAAGGCTGGCTATGACGATATTGCTCTTACTAGGGTAAGCATAAATAATTTCCATGCTCATATCGTAACAAACTATTGACTTGGAATGATGGAATCTCTTCTCTGTTATCTCTTCTGCTCACTGTCCTTTTTTATGTTGTTTTAAGTCTCCTGAAGTTTCTGATTGGTCAAGTCCAGCATCTTATTTATTTATTTTAACAATCAAACAGCTTTGTTTTTGTGCAATGAAAGAGTGTTATATTTGATAGAAGTGATCATCTAAGCTTAATTGTTGAGTCTTAGCAGCATGTCATTGAACTTTGATGGAATAGAAGGTACTGTTAGCATGGGAATTTCCCCTATTGCTTTGATGGTGTGAATTGAGACTCAAGAAAGCTTGTTTTAGGTATTCAGAGATTTGACATATGATTATTATCTTGACTTTCAGGCTGAGCAGCTTTTTAAAGATGAAAACACTGTGTCGATTTACGAATTATTGCATAGTTTCTGCGAATTCATCCTGAACAACCTGTCATATATCCGCTGGCACAAGTATGTAAAGAACTGATCAGAAGAAGTTTCTCTGTTCTGACTCCATGTTGTGTTTTCTAAAACCGTTCTGTCTTCGGAATCTTGTGGTTTCAGGGATTGTCCTAATGATGTCAATGAAGCAGTTTCAACTCTTATATTTGCCTCTGCAAGATGTGGAGAAATACCAGAGCTTCGTGCTGTCCGAAAGCTCTTCGGACAGTATTATGGCCAAAGATTTGAAAAGACAGCTCTTGAACTATTGCCTGGGAACCTTGTTAACACTCAGGTTCTTATATCTTTCTTATAATAGAATTCTACAAGAAGTCTGCTTGCTATCGTACGATTTCTTCAGTAGATGTGTTAATGCCAACTGACACAATTGCAACCACAGGTAAAAGAGAAACTCTTCATTATATCAGTTCCTCATTATGTGAAGCAAAGGTTGGTGGACGAGATTGCTAAAGATTACTGCCTCCGACCGGAAATTTTGGCAATTCAATATGCTTCAGAGCAGCAGCAGGAGGTGAATTTCGATACTTCTGTCAGTATGTCTAAACTGATTTGCTCTATTCTTATGAGAAATATTGAAGATCTTTGTTCCATGCAACCACAGGAAGAGGAACATAGAGAAGAACATCAGGTGCTAGATAAAGATGCTCAAAATTATGGTCGCAAAATAGAAGAATCTCATAAGGAAGTTTTAAATGAAAATGATCTAGAAGGGAAAGCTATACACATTGATTCAATGTCGACAAGCCGAAGTTCACCAACATCAACTCCCTCTCGTCAGAATAGTCATACAACTAGTAGTTCTGTGAAATCTTCTATAGCTCAGCTATCTTCACCGGATACGCTGGAATCTCCAACGCAGAACGAAGCAGAGAAAGAGGACAATTTTGCTGGACAAGATTCACTATCAAACTTTGAAGTGGTTTCCCCAGGAGCTGAAGAAAGTCAGGTGGCTAGCAGCATTTACACTACCTCCCGAAAACACAAGGAAGAGAGAAAGATTGCAGCATCTTCCTCAGAGAGTCTGCCTCAGTTTCCAGAGGAGATGATAGTCTATCTTGATGATGTAGAGGAGGTTCAATCCATTACAAAGGAAGGTAGCTGCCTGGATCAGAGAATTTTCAAGTTCAAATCATCTCCTCCTCAATCCATTACAAAAGAAGGTAGCTGCCAGGATCAGAGAATTTTCAAGTTCAAACCATCTCCGTTCCTGCCGAAAAAGGTAAAAGTTGAAGACGGTGATGTAAAACATATGGATCAGTATGAATCACGGAGTGAGAAGTCAAATTCAAGTAGCTCAAGAAATAGAGAGGATGCAACTGTTAAAAGATCAAGGAGGAGATCGATATCTCGAGAACATTCAAGTGGTAAGGATATCGAATGTGTGCTTTATTACGACAAACCATGCAAGAGACACACAACTGATCACAAGCATGGATCAAATCTTCCCGGTAAGCATCACAAGAAGACTGCTAAAGGAAAAGGTGAAGAAACATGTGAAGCAGAGAAGATGCAAAAACAACCTCACTGCTCCAGCCACTGCTGCTTGAACCATCGATCTTACTTCTGCACCAATGATGGCAGAGTTGCTCATGAGCATCCACCTTGGAACCAGAAGAGATTCCTCACTGTTATTCACCATTGCCACTGTCCTACAATTGGAGAATCAGATACAGAAATGGAACGGTATGACTTCCCGCAGCTGCGGCGGAGAAAAAGCTGTGAATTTGGTGCTTCTGCGCGTGATTTTTTTACTAGCCCAGATTGGCAGCCTGAGCAGCAAAGAAAACGAAATTCTACATGCAGCAACGTCTCTTCTATGGATCCATGCGCAGAGGAAAACACTCCTTTGACAAGAAAAGAAACAAGGCCCCCTTATCTAAGAGCCATGACAATGCCCCAAGAAAGGTCCAAGTACAGTAACAGAGAAAATGTTGAGCGGTGCAGTACGTTTCCCATTGAATCTCCCCCTCATGTCCACCCTAAGCTACCAGATTGTGATGACATAGCTGCCAAGTTCATGGCTCTCAAGAGAGAACATGCAAAGAACAGACACGGTTAGACAGATTGAACAAGGTTTTAACAATGCCGTATTAGATTGATTTGTAGAATTTTCTATTTCTACCCCCAGAGAACTAGAATGATTTGATTTGTATTAAACTAGCAATTGATTGAATTATTGAAATATAGAAATTTGTTTGTCATACTCATGGCTCCATATCAGAAGAACCTAAATACTTTTTCCTGTAAAAAGAAGTTCCTTTTAGTGTTAGCTCACCCACCAAACCAGACTAAGCACATAAATCCAACAAAATTTGCCATTGCTTGATGAATTGAACATAAATTACAAAACCCCAAATTTCTAATAGCTTCAACAAGTCCTCCAATTGTATAAAAACAATAAATTAGAGTGATTACTTGGTAAGCTTAATTCAACTAAAAACACATGACAAATACAACAAGAATCAAAAAATATTTTGGGCTGGTTGTCTTCTCTTGGCTTTGGGCTCAACCACACATCTATGTTGGGCACCTTGACTTCTGCCTCAACAACATATCCGATTTGGCGTGCTTTTGGGCCAAGTGGCTTTGCAAATTAGTTTTTTTGTTTTTTTTTTTTTGGGCCTTTCCCCTTCGCTTAAAGTGGTTTCGTGCTTGAAATAATTGAGTATCCATCATTACTCTATTAATTTAAATTAAAATATATGTATTAGTTGATAATTATATATTAAATTTAATGTGATTTTCATTTTTGTTTCATATATTATTGGTTTTATTAAATCATATAAAAATATATCAACTATAATAAAATTTTCAACTTGTAGATATGATTAAATTTAAGTAGATAGAAAATAGAATGATTGTAACTCCCAAAATACGAGAGATATTTCCAGTTGGATCTCGTGTTTAGTAAGACGAAAAAAAAAGGTGGGATATGCACATAAACTACTTGTAGTTTGGAGTTTTTTTTTATTTTTTAAGTGCAATTTCTACATGTTGGTGACCCATTTATGTGTTAGGCCATTCCATATTGATTGTAGAAAAAACCGGATCCGTAGTTATAAATGTGAGAAAAAATCTTACTCATTAAGTTAACTTTTAGAATAGAGAAGGTCCAACATTGATATCAGATTTTATGCCACATAAGTTGATGAGAACTTCTTGAGTTAATTTTTAGCCCTGAGAAGATCCAATAGCACCGAACATTTGGTATCTTTCCTCACTTCATGTATAAGCTAGAGCTAATGAGTTGTGTGTAGCACAATTGGTATATCGTCATTCTCATCCTCCATTAGACCCCGGGCTCGAATCTGCTTATAAACCAAGAAAAAGTTTTATGAACAATACTATGAGCACCAGTTCTCTCATGGCGGCGTATACTCTAGATGTTAATACAAATATATCTTGACATTGCATGCAGTGGGATACATAGCATTTGTTCATAACTGCTTCACAGATCTTTTTAATGGTGGAAAGCAGTTGCTTGGGCTAAGGGGCATGCACCAGTACCAAATCTTGGCAGCATAAAAAAGATCATGGAAAATGGTCCCATCAATTTATTGCTCTATCTATTTACATGAGAATTTGGTTTCCTACAACTTGCAGACACAGAACTTGGCTGGATAAGGATTTCAAAAATTTGTGCTCGATTAATTGGTAATCTAGATTGGTCTCTGTCTAATTTAATTTCCAACATGACTGACGTCCAATAATATATAGACTGCTTAACTTGCAGTTCAGTTCATTTTTTCAGGTTTCTAGACAAATAGTAGCAACTTGAACATGTGGGAGATAAATTTTCTTCTGATTTTCTGTTTAATCCATTGACCTGGACAGTCTATTAATAATTATCGTTGGAGAAATTTGAATAGTTTTGAATGGCAAGAGAACATATCTTAGGAGAAATTTGAATAGTTTTGAATGGCAAGAGAACATATCTTAGAGCATCTTTAATGGTGCTCTTTATCTTTTAGTTAGTATTTTTAATTTAAATAGAGAGCACGTTGATTATATAAATTGAAAATCAATATTCTCTCTAATGTTATTCTCTATTTTAACTTTTTATTTTGACAAAATCCATAAAACTTATAGAGATTATTGGTGAAAAGGTTGAGTGGCATAGAAAATAGTAATTTTTATTAATGAAATATAAGATAAAGAATCATTTGGACTCTCTAGTATTAGAGAGCTAAAGACACTACGTATCTCAATTTTAAAGATAAAGATTGTGATAAAGAAAGCATTGGAGATAAAATTTTAACCAAAGCTCTTTATTATAAAGAAAAATCTTAATATAAAGAGAGAATTGTAGATGCTCTTATACTCGAATAATTAAACTAAAATAAGTAATATATAAAATTGAGAAAGTGTCACCTATTATAAAGCTAAGTCTTTCGATAGATCATCCAATTTTAACTATCTAACTTTATATATTATCGAGTCTCAAAAAAGTTTAAAGGCTCGGTAAAAATCTTATTTCAACTATTTAACTTTATATGTTATCAAAGTCTCAAAAAAGTCTAACGGCTTCGCAAAAATATTAGAACTCAAACCACTTGATAAATCTTAAAAGATGGCTTGTAAGTGAAAATGAATGGCAGTTTAGTAAAAATTTGGAACTCAAGCCACTTGATAAATCTTAAAAGTTGAGTTATAATTGAGGATGAGTGTTAGAAAACATATAATGTTTGAATAATTAAATAAATAATATATAAAGTTGAAAAACAATTACCTACCACAAAACTTAAATCTTTTGGATAGAATTCAATTTTAATTATCTAACTCTATATCAACCATTGATGCCACTTAGTATCTAGTAGCTAGGCGTAATCATTTAATTTTTTGGTTTAGTTTTTAATAATTCGATTCGACTTTCGATTAACCGAATCTATACAAATAAAAACCGAGCTCGAGCTGAATTATTATTCAAATTTTTTGTTTAAAAACTGAAATTTTGATTTTCAGTTTAAACTATTTTTTTACTTTGAATTTTTTAAATAATGTGAATAAACCAAAAATATTATAAATCTATCATATATCTATAATAATGTTAAGGTATATATATATTTTTTTTGGTTTATTTACATTATTTTAAAATTTAAAAAAATAGAAAAAATAAAAAAATAAAATTTCAATTTAAACCAAATAAAAAATTTAAAAAACTTAATCGAACAGAAAAAAAAAGAAAAAATCTATTCTTTTTTTCTTTTTAGTTAAAAATCGAACAAAAATTGATATTTCAGTTCGATTTTTCAATTTAAACCGAATAGTACTCATTTTTATTTTTGGCTTAAATAACCTTGGTGATTTTCAAAACGTTAACATATTTGGCATGCGAGTGTAGATCAAAAACAAAAGAAAAGAAAAGGGTAGAAACAAATTATTTAGAAGTGTCATCAGGGAGTGTTTCGATTATCTAGCCAAAGCATGCATTGCTTTTCAGTGGAGACACAATTTACTATTTCAGGGTGACAAAGGGGCACGTTGATATCTCTAGGAACAGTACGCCTAAAAAGTTGATCCTTCTTATCTATCAAAAAGTTGGCTTTGAAAACGGCGCATGCACATGAAAAAAGAAAATTCCCACTATCTATAAACAAAAGACGCGTGTAGCAAATAGATTATATTTTGGATAAATTTTGCTAATTATCTTATAGTTTGAACGTAGTAACATTTTGCATTCGATTTTTCATATAATATACTTACGATATTAAAACTGAAATTAAAAATTAAAAGATACCCCACATAAAAAATAAATCTATTTTTTTCCCGGCCATCATATTAGAGTAAATTATAAGTTAATCTCTTCAGATTTGAAAAATAAATTAATTAGTCTTTTTTGTTTTAAAAACTATTATTTAGTTTTTTTTATTAGAATTGATATGCTTAATTTAATATTGATTTATTATATAAAATATATTTTTTTCATAAATCTTTTTATATTTTTCACTCATTTTTTTATTTTTAAAAATAAAATAAATTGAAAAAGAAATGAGATTAAGTGACAAGTAAATTTTAAAATATTATAAAAAAAAAACTAAAACGATAATTTACTATTCATTGGCACTGTTCTAAAAACTATTCATCCGGACTTATATACATTATTCATACGGACTTATATATATTATTCCTTTTATTATGTAGTGTTTTTTTTTATAGCTTTCAAACTTTTATAATAAATGTATTTAAAAATTTTGAAGCTATAAATTTTAAAAAACTTTTAAAACAAATTTATTATAAAAGTTTTCGTGACCTTACACTTTAGTCTTTTTTTTTAAACATTATTTTTTCGATCCATAAATTTTTTTTTGTTTTATTTTGATTCCTTTTTTTGTTTCATTTTGGTCACTTTGGTCCCTATTTTTTTCTTTGATTTTTTTAATTAAAAATTTTAAGGCAAAAATATGTTTAAAAAAATAATTTACATAATAAATTTTTAGCTAAAAATATAAATAGAGATAAATAGATAATATTTTTTAGTAAAAAAATTATGAAAATATAAAGAATAATTAGTTAAATACAAAATTTTGATTAAAAATTATAAAATCGAATGAATTTTTATTCAATTTTGATTTGATAGATTTTGATAGACGTAAAATATAATACGATACATCAAATTAAAATATTTTTTAAAAAATAATTTTATGTGTTTTGTTTGACCCGAAGCATAGAGTGAGTAAAAAAACTAATAAGAACTAAATAATTATTTTAAAAAAAACTTATTAATTTATTTCTCAAAGCTATAAGAACTAATTTATAATTTACTTCGTCATCATGTTATGATTCCCATTCACTCTTTCTCACCAATTCAGCCACCAAATTAAAAACTTCAAACCGCCTACCACCGCCGCTATGATTATTTCGAAACCGGTACCACAAATCCACTGCAAACCAAAACCAAATTAAAAACTCCTGTAGCAACCACCAAAGCTTAAAATTGGAAATGAAAATCTTAGTTTGTCTGTATCACGAAGCAGCTAAGTACAGAAAATCTGCGTGAGTTTTTCGATTTTATGCGTAAAATTATCTATGTTGGATGGTATAAAAAACCTATGTGAATTT